ATTGTAGCAAGAAATTGAGAGAGGAAAGGAGTTAACTATGTGGGCTTCTGATACTATTCTGGTCCCAGAACTTTCCCTCTCTCCTTCCTTCTTCCTTCCCTCTCCACTTTCCCCCTCTTTTCTTCTCAATCCATTTTCTCATCAATTTATCTGTAATCTCTTGTTTCACCGAAACAATGCAGAGCTGGCATTTCTTCGCAGATAGGGTGAACGTCTTCCATCTCACCCCCCCTGTCCTGGGATGTTGGCAGAGTCTGCTCTTGCAGGCCTGGTTCAGTGGTCAGGGCTGGGGTCTGGGGTGGGGGATCTGGTCAACTTGGGAGAGGGTTGTCTCTGAATAGCATCTCTGCTGTTGCCAAAGCTGCCAGCTTCTGGCCCTCAGTGGACAGGCCTCCTTCCTGACGCAGAGGCAGCCCTACCTCCTCAGCTAGCTTTGGCCAACTCTCCGCCCTTACCTTCTCTCCCCTCAAGGAGCTAGTGCCTTCAGAGCTGCTGCCACCACGGCTATGGCAGGCTCTGTAGTCACAGCTGCCCAAGAGCTCTGGCACTGCCACCATCACTCCTGCCCAACCTGAGCTGCCTCTGCTCCCCAGACTCTGCCCCTGCCATCAAAACAAGGTGTCTCCAGAGGCCTAGGGGCTGCCTTGTGAATCTGTCCGAGGAATCCAGGGGCCAGGCATGAACCTGCCGGCATTGCTCCAAGCCGCTGGCTGGGCCGGGTCTCCTCATGGTCATGTTGCCTGGGCCAGAGGCTCTCAGGCTGGGGCCTAGGGCCTCAGGTGATGCCAGGGGGGGGGGGGGAATCCTGGGGATCTGCAAATCTGTAAAATGGAAAAGGCATTTTCATTTCAAGGTAATCTTTTCTAAAAAAGCATATCCTGGCCATCTGACTCTAGCTACTTCTGACAAGGCCATTTGAGGAAGTGGTAAGAGGGTGTGCTCTCATGCCAGCCTGCTGTGTTCAAGCCCTGGCTCACCCACACCCCAGCTGCGTGACCCAGGACAGCACTCACCTGCTGTGCCCTGGTGCCTTCTGCTGCAAAAGGGTGATAATAATCCTTTCTGCTCCAGGGTCCCTGTGAGAGCTAAGCGAGATTATGCCTGTAAAGCACTTAGCCTAGCACTTAATGGGCCTCTGCACTCAATCACAGCTCCAATTGTGTGTATTATCTGGTGGCCCGGGATTGTCAAGGGCTCATGAGAGAAAAAACAAAGGTGGCCTTAATAGGGAAGCGATGTGTTAGAGCTAAGTGAAGACCAGAGAGCGTGGCATGCTGAATAAATGAAGTTTTCACAGAAGTTTAAATAAAGAAAAGCTGTGTGCTAATTGAGTCATCTCACCAGGCTGGCTGAGCTCGCAGGAATGTGCCCGGGAGCAGTCTGGTGGCGCTGCGTGGTGAGCTGCTGTTCATTTTTCAGCGAAACCTCATCCATCCCATTCCGTCAATGCTGGGAATATGATTTTTATTGGCTTCGTCATTTTGTTTCTATTGAATTTATAGATTTGTTTGGCTTTTAGATGAAAGGTCTAAGCATAAGTTTATTATCTAGTTTGAACATATTTATGTAACTTTTTTAATAAAAATAATATTTTAAGTCAATGCTGTGGTTTAAAATGTGTCCCTGTGTTTTTCAAGTCTGAAAAACATGGCTCTGCATCTTTTGCGTCAAACTTTGGATAGAGGGAAAGCAAATGTATATTCCTTTTGCACAGAAACCCTAACTTCACATTAATTAGTGCCGGAACCGCTGTGGTGGGCAAGAGCAGTCGAGAATAGCCGTGACCTTGGAGAGCGAAGATAGCCAAGCTAACGGCTCTTTAGCATCGCCAGACCCTCCGGGCTGGCGGTTTCTCCACCTTCACCCCACTGCTCAAGCTTTGAGTGTGAACTTTATTTTGCCATCCTGTTGACCACGGTGTTACTGGGCTTGTTTTCTAGTATTTCTACCATTGCATCCAGGATGTTTGAGATTTATGGCTCTATGGGATAACATGTTTCCTGTTGCTTATGTAACTTACATGTCAGTAAGGGTGACTCTGCCCTGTGGGATCCAGATGTGATTGATTCCAACTTTCCAGACCTCCCGACCTTGGCACTGGAATGTTTCTGTGAATTTCTGGGGAGCATATATGCTCGTGGCCACCTCTTGCTCCAAGTTCCTGCTCGTTCAGAGAGCAGAGAGCATATTTCCTGTCTGCGTCTTGTGGTTGTTTCTTCTTTTATCCTCACTCTGGCTTCCACCCAAACATAGACTTTGCCCTTTTCCTGTGTTTCCACCAATACCCAAAAGGCGTTTACTTGTATAGTAAATGTTACCAAAGGTTTAGGGACATTTTGCAGGATCGGGTGAAATGCAGGGAAGGGAGAGGTTTTATTTTATAGCAACACAAATGGCTTAAAATCAAATGGTTGACATACCTATTCCTGAAAGTCTTTTAGCCACACTGCCCTGTTACTGGACCTTCACCCCTTCCTCTCTCATCTTTCTCTCCTTCCACCCCCAGATTTCTAGTCCTTCCTTACAGAACTGTTCTGCTGTCTCTTTTTAGCTTTATCTTCAGAATCTCACCTTGCCCCTAGCACAGCACATCAAGACACTTTACTTGACAGTATTCTTCCTAGGAAGCATTCTGTTGAGAGATTAGATGGTTGTTGACTGCCCCACGGCACTGACTGAAGCTGTCCACTTTACATTCCTCCTGTCTGGCTATAGGCTCAGGGTTTACAAAGCACTTTCACCTACATGAGCCTCTTTGGCTATCAGAGCAGCTCCAGGTGAGGTCTCATGTCCATTTTATAGATGTGGGACCAAGAGCTCAGAGAGGTTGAATGAATTGGTCAAAGCCACATAGCCAGGTAAGTGGGGGTGTAGAAGTCCACACCCAGGTCTGGTTATGTTGAGATTTGACCCATGTCATCACACACAGACAGGATGCATGCTGTCTGATCTTTCAGCAATCTGAGGCCACGTGGGTTCCATGGTAAATGATTAACACAAGACAACCCAAGTGTCCTCAGGTGTGGCCATAGCAGCCCCAGCAGGTACGTGCATTCTATGCAGTTGGACTGTCTATGCCTTCCCCTTCTTTCCCTCTTTTGATGGCAAGCTCCTACTCATCTTCAGGTCTAGGTACAGGACTGGCTATGTCATTTGTGGGGTCCAGTACAAAATTAAAATGCTATGCTCCTTGTTCCAAAATTATTAAGAATTTCAAAGCAGTGACTGAAGAGCATTAAGCTAAGCATGGGGCAATTTGAAATGATTGTACAGGTCACAAACCCATGAAGCTAGCCTTGTTTGGAGGCTCTGTCTCTTAGGAAGCATGTCTTGACCCCCTAACTTGGGTAAGGTGCTCATTACATACTGTCATCATTTCTTCATTATGCTTCTGTCTCTCCATTAGTCTGTGAACTTTTTTTTTTTTGAGACAGTCTCATTGTGTTGCCCGGGCTAGATGCCTTGGCATCAGCCTAACTCACAGCAACCTCAAACTCCTGGGCTCAAGCAATCCTTCTGTCTCAGCCTCCCAAGTAGCTGAGACTACAGGCATGAGCCACCATGCTTGGCTAATTTTTTCTATATATTTTTAGTTCGCCAATTAATTTCTTTCTATTTTTAGTAGAGATGGGGTCTTGCTCTTGCTCAGGCTGGTTTCGAACTCCTGACCTTGAGCAATCTGCCTGCCTCGGCCTCCCAGAGTGCTAGGATTACAGTGCTAGGAACCACCACGCACAGCCAGTGTGAACTTCTTGAGACCTGTGCTCTGTTCACTATCATTGCCCTGGTGCCCAGCCCAGGCCCTGGCAAAGAGTGAGGGCTCAGGGGATGCCCCATTGGGACTCAGGACTCCTGCAAGTGGGTCCTGGAGAAAGCAGGCACTGAATTGTCATCTCCGGGCAGGAACCACTCGGGACCACAGACGGGTAGGTCTGAGCAGAAACAAGTGAGACTCTGAGATTTGCCAGGGTTTCAAGTGTGTGGGGGAGGTAGAGTAGGGACCCATTTTCTCTTTAGGAGAGCGTGTTAATCACTTACCGCTCAGGGCCTCGCAAATCCTGCTCCTCAAGGCTGAATAAGGTGTGATGACGCACGGAGGTTAGGGACAGGCAGGAGACAGGGGCAGAGACGGCAGAACAGACACGGGGCCCTTCCTGGGGGCACGCTGCTGGGTTCCAGCACCCCCGCCTCAGCCAAGCCCCATGACCCTTCTTTAGCCTCCTGAGGTTTCCTAGGTCCTCACACTTCCTGCCCAGCAGCATGTGTGGGGCCAGGGAAATACCTCCTAAGTGCCTCCTCAAAACCAGCAGGAGGGAGGAGGGCAGAATCCTCAAAAATTTTGGACAAACATGGGCCCTTATGTGGAGCCCCCCAGATCCCACGGATTTCTTTCTGTTCTAAGCAACAGAAACCCTACTCGATGTAGGCAGAAAAGAGTACATATTAGTTTAAAACCTAGAAGCTTAAGGGTGGATGTATCTTTAGCCATCAATAGTCCTTGAGCCCAAACGGTGTGACCAGAGCTCAGTTTCTCTCTTTTCATTTTTCTCCACATGGAAGGCAAGATCTCAAACATCCTGAAAATAGCGGGCAGAAACCCTGGGAAGGACTCTGATTGGCTGGGCTTGGGTAATGGGCATATCCCTGAACCAATCCCTGTGTCCAGGGGTGGGAGCAGGGGCTGGCTCCCAGAGCAGGGGCCGGAAGAGGGCTGGGTAGGCAGAAATGCTGGTGGCCACCAGCCTGCTCTCCACAGTCTACCCAGCACCGCCTCCTTTCTGCCGCAGTGGCTTCCAGGCTTTTAGAGCCTGAGCCCAGGAAGATCCTTGTAGAGAGGAAACTGCTGAGCACAGGCAACTGCCCCAGGCTTACTGTTTCCAGAAACCTCTTCCCATACTCGCTCAGAGCAGATCCCAGCGTTGTCGCCACAGCCCAGGGTGGGGAGACTGCCAGGCAGAGCTTTTTCAAAGGGCTTCAACTCCAGAATGCCTTTCGTTGAAGCTGGGAAATATTCTTTATTTATTTTACCTTAGAAATGAGCCAGTAATAAATAACCAAAGGAAGACAAAGAGAACCCTTTGTAAAAAGAATGCAGTGCAACATTGTTCTCTGGGCCCTTCCTTTAGTCTTGTTGCTCTTCGAGGCCAAGCAAGGCATGGAGAACCTTAGTGATGAGGAGGAGGCTTTTTTTCAACACTTTGGCATTTCTCTCCTTATTTTCTTCAGCTGGCTCCATATTTAGTGAGTTTTCATATATGTAGGTTTCTCGAGTTGGTGGCTGAGACATGGCTCCATGTGGTAGTGTCTCACTACTACAGGGTTGCTCTACCTGTGGTAGCACAGGTGTGAGTAAGTGGACTTGAGAGAGAAGAGCTGAGTCTTCAAGCCAGGACACCTGGGTTCCATGCTTGTTCTCTTATGACCTTCTGGTTGACCTTGGCTGCAGTCGACCAGCCTGGCCTCAGTTTCCCCACCTGTACAAGGATGGGTTGGACAAGATAATCTGTGATCCTTCTTAGCTCTAATTTCTGTGACTCTTGGTCAGGTGGAGAAGGAAGACCAGTCAGGAATCTGGTTGTTCCTGCCTTTGCCACAGACTCATTAGGTGACCTTGGGTAAGTGTATGGCCATAACACCCTGAACGTGCCTGATCTCATTTGATCTCGGAAGCTAAGCAGGGTCGGGTCTGGTTAGTACTTGGAAGGGAGACTTTGGGTAAGTCCCTTCCCCCTGGTGGGTTTGTTTCTCACCTTTGAACAACCTATATCGAGTAGGAGGCTAAGAGGTGGTGTGGAGTGGTAGGCATGGAGCAGGGCTCTCTTGGCCCAGGATTCAGGCTGCCTGCTCCTTGCCAGGCTCCACCATTCAGGAGCCCATGCACTGAAGAACTTTGGCCTGGGTGCAGCGCTCCAGTGAAGTCTGTGAGTGCAGTCCCCCCATTTCTGGAGACCACACCCAGTCACATGGCCTTGGGCCTCTGCAGCGTGCTTTGGCCACCTCTGCCTTTGTTCTAACTTCCAGACCCAGCAACCAATTGGGACATACCTCAGCCAAAATGCCCAGCTCTGCAATGCCTTGCTAAAGCCTGTCGTGAGCCACAGGGAGGACTGCTGCCTAGTGGAACACTGAGGAAGCAGCACAACACCCATTTTCAGGGAGCTTGTGACCCAGAATGGGAGGGGACAGTGCGAGCATGTACCCAGGGCCATGAGGGGGTGGGGCAGTGTCCTCAGCTCAGAGAATAGGAGAGCATTACAATAGGAGGAGAGCATTAGGGGGTCTAGGAGGATGAGAGGAGCTGCTGGCAGAGAGCCCAGCACCATGGAAGAAGTCACAGACTGTGGGGTGACTCCATGGGGAACAAGGGGCAGGCGGTGGAAAGAAGCATGGGGCCAAATCCGACAGGCTGGGTAGGCCTGGACACGGGGCTGGGCTGGGGAGGCAGTGAGTTTTCCATGTTAGTTAACAACCTGTGGTTAAAAGTGATGGGAACTGGGGAGGGGGGCATGGGCAATATATGTAACCTTAACATTTGTACCCCCATAATATGCTGAAATAAAAAAAAAAGTGATGGGAACCTAACTTGAACTAACCCAAGCAAAAGGGCAATTTATTGGAAGAACAGAGAATCTGAGGAAGGCCTGAATACCTATGGAGCAGGTGAAGGCCCAGGGTGTCTTCTAACCTCCTGAAAACAGCTAGCAGAAATTGTGGGACAGGCTCTGATTGGCTGGGCTTGGGTAATGAGCATATCCCTGAACCAATCCCTGTGTCCAGGGGTGGGAGTAAGGGCGGGCCTCCAGATTCCCTCCTAGTGTATCCTTCTCCATCCCCCTCAAAGCAGGGCTGTGCTTTCAGAGGAGGACAGGAAGGGACAGCTAACTGGGAACTCAGGCACCTTCAGGATCCAGCTCTTGATCCTGTTTTTCTCCTGTGACTCCATGTCTCTCTTTCATGGCAGACTAAATTTCTTTACAAAGAAGAATCCCGGGGAAGGGATTTGTTGGCCCAGCTTGGGTCACGTTGCTACCCTCAGGTCAAAAGTTGGGGTCCCATGGTGACAGGGCTGCCCTGTGCTGTCAGTAGAAGGGCAGGAGTGTGGTTTCTGAGGGACGGGATGGTGCTGAGCAGGCACCCCCAGAACTGTCCCTCAGTTTCTGAGCAGAGGAATATGGCCCTATCTGACCTGCATTTTGGGAAGAGTAGGCATTAAAGATGATAGTCTTTTTCCTTTTATTCATAAAAACAAATTTGCAACAATTTATTAAAAATCGATACCATGCAGTAGGGGTACGAGAAATTCCTCATTTACATTTGATTCTGGCAGTTCCAGTCTAATTTAAAGCATTTGTGCACTAACATCATTGGAAAATGCCTTCGGGCCGAAGCCTCTTCGGAAATGGACGGTGTGTTTGCTGCATATAAAAGAACAGAACCATTAAATAGCTAGAGTCACTTCTGTGGGTCTTGTTATTTGCGGGGAAATTAAAAAAAATGGGTGAACCTACAGTATCAGTAAGACGGAGAATGTACTTCGTGGGTTAACCTAGAAGACTGTGCACGTTCGGGAGTCACAAAGGGTTACAGACGCACACACTCACCTCCGACAGTCCAATACTTTTGTTTGTTTTTTTTTCCTGCTATGCTGGAATAATATTTCTACAGGTATTTTTTGTGTGTATACATTATGTACAATTAATTGTCTCTTTCCCCTTTGAAAAATTAATGTGGTCTTTAAAATTAAATTTGGTTTTGGTGAAATCAAGAAAGCAAGTAAATACTGGTAATACACAGTGAGTGACAACACCGATTTTTAGTGCCTAAACAAGAGAATGACTTCAACTTGACCTGTGATGTGTTAACGTTTTTTTTTTTTTTTTTCCCTAAAAGCTACAGTACCTCCATAACCTCTCTTTGGGGAGGGGAGCAGAAAGCTATGCTACGTGAAATAGGGTGTTTTGAAATGTTGGCGATGGTAAGATTCCTGTGGGCCCTTTCGTCAAAGCCTGGTGGTGACAACAGTGTGTTCCTGACTGCAGTGGTTCTGGGAAGAGATTATTGCCTGCCTGTTGAAGCTGCCATTAGGTTTCTTTAGGGAGTGAGCAAGCCGCTCAGTTGTGCAGACGTCCTGGACGTTGTCATTCAGGCCTTTCTTTAGCAAAGAATGAACCTGTCTAGGAATGTCAGAAAAGTCATGGGGAGCCTCCCTCCAGCCGGGTTGTTCGGGGTAGAGGGCTGTGCTGGAAGCTTCTCTGGGCCACAGCCCCGGCTGTGGTAAGGGCTGAAGGTCTAGTCACACTAATACCTCACGGGTCAGGGCCGCCTCACTGTCTGGTACCGAGCTTTCCTGGACGAGATCAAGTTTCTATCCTCAGAGTGACCCTGTGAGGTAGGCAGGACGGGTGTTATTTCAACCCCGATCTGTTACAGAGGGGAAACTGAGGCTCAGAGAGACATGAGTGACTTGCCCAAGGTCATGTAGGGAGTCAGCAGGGGACTGAGGACTTGAACCCAGGGCTGTCTGGCTCCCAGGCCAGTGCTCCTCGGGGTTCACTTGAAAGGGAAGAGCGATCTCATGAGTGAGAGTCAGTCTGCTGACTGGTCACCCCCAGGGACCCCCGGGGAGAGCTCACTGGCTTGTATGGGTGGAAGGCTGCCTTCTGGAAGCCAAGGGAAGCCCTCAGCCAGTAACTCTCTCCCCATGGCTATAGGGATGTCTTTTAGCAGAATGCCCCCAATTCACTTTGGTCAGAAACAAAGTCAGTGAAAAAAAAAAAAAAAATCCCAGCCAGCCCTTGGGCCCTGATGAGAGAGGTTAAAGTGCACAATCTTTCTTCGTCGCGATTGCTGGGAACAGACATTCCATGGTTGGCTCGGGTGGTCCCCCTTATTACCGGGAACACCCGATGTGAACACAAGGACATGGCCAACGTGGTGGGTGCATGACAGACTGTCGGTGAATGCTGCAGAGCGTGTCTGCAGTGACGTGCCCTAAATCCCCACAGTCCCTGGAACGGGTGTTATTGTGTTGACGTGTGGCATTTACCAGAGTAACAAACATCTCGTTTGGTGATGGAGGTCCCATCAGGAGCATGCAAGTCCGCCTGCTCCGGTACCCCAGCCCTCCGGCCGCCTGCCCCGGGCTGTGCCTGTCTGCGGCTCTTGCAGACTCCCTGTTCCAGGAAGGCTGGGGGTGGCTGGCCTGGCAGCTGGGGGCCTGGCGGCCCTGTCCGCCTCCTCCTCCCCCAGAGTGGAGAAGGGCTGGCCTGAGGGGCCACAGCCAGCGACGTGTGCAGAGTGCAGAGGCGGTTTCTCCAGAAGCCCCGTGCCTCTTCCCAAGGCTGCTTCGGGCCACTCAGCGACTTCTAGCTGGAGTTCTAGTGCCTCTCTCCTTGTCTAGATTTTTTTGTGCAAGTTTCAAATATCCCAGCTCCTCCTTGTTTGCAGACATTAAGGAAGAAGCCGTTTCCATTCCTCTTCTTTGTGAAGGGACAAGAACTTCACAAATAAGGCTCGAGGTCAGGTGCCGAGTCCCCCCTCCCTTCCTGTCCTCCTGAGTGCCATCCCAGCAGTCCTGAGAGGCCAGCCGTGGCGCCCGGCTTCTCCGCAGCCAGAGCCGACAGTGTCCCTGCAGCAGCAGACGCCTCTGCCCAGTGTGGTTCTGTCACGGGGGAGGCCCCGGCCCCAGGCCTCCCGCCCTTACAGGCCCGAGACCATGACTCGGAAGGAGGGGGGCACGTGTCTGTGGCGGGGGCTGGCGGTGGGGCTGACGCAGGGGCTGACACAGCTGGCGTCCACGCCTCCTATGGACGGGAGGTAGGCGTGGTGGAGGATGGGGAGCTGGAGGGACAGCCGGCGCTGGATGCTGGAGAGAGAAGGGAGAAGCGTTAGTGCAGGCTATCTGGCTGCTCCTTGGTTTTGCTCTGGCTAAAAAAGCCGAGGACGGGAGCACAGTTTTCTCTGAATCTGAGATCTGTGCATCCAATCATCTAACTGTTCAGCCGTCTACAGGTATGTAACGAAAGCCTACGTGTCCTGCCCTGTGAATAGCCAGGGCGACCAGAATAAACAAGGAAGATGCAGTCTTCTTGGGCCTCTGGTCTGGGATTTGGCGAGTAATATAAATGTCATAGCAGAAAAGATGCTCCTTGACATACAGTGGGGCTACATCCTAGTAAACCCAGTATAAGGTGAAAATACTGGAAGTCAAAAATGCATTTAATACACCTAACCTACCGAGTATCATAGATTAGCCTCGCCTGCCTTAAACGTGCTCAGAACACTTACATCAGCCTATAGTTGGGCAACATCATCTAACACAAAGCCTATTTTATAACAAAGTAGTAAATATCTCATGTAATTTATTGAATACTGAACGTGTATCACTTTCAAATAATCATAAATCTGAAAAATTTTAACTGGGACCATCTGTATTGCTAAGGACAAGGCTTTGCCCTTCTGACGGGGCTTTGCTGCAAACACAGACATGTCTCATTCTCTGCTCTTGCACACATCCCTGTGGACTTGGATCTCAGCTCTATCCCCAGAAGGCTCCTTGGCCGCTCTATCCTTCCTTTGTCCCCTCTTCACTGCCTTGCCCAGGATCTCAACCCTTCTTGCTGGGCCAATTCCAACAGGCTCCTCCCTGGTCTTTCAGCTTCTTTGGGGACTAGTGTCATCTTTCCAACACTGGGAAGCGAAAATAGGACATGCATTGATGTGACATTCAGGGCACCCTACCATCTGTTTCTCACCAAACTCTCCAGGTGAATCTTCTGCCCCCTCCCCACAAGCCCTGTCCTCTGGCAGCTGTTACAGTTTCTCCTTAAATCCTGCTCTTGTGTGTTCTTCCACTGTTTCCCTGTCTGGAACATTCTGTCTCTGTTTCCCGACCAGATGAACTGTGTTTCTTTCAAGTTTCAGTTTAAATATCAGAGAGTGGGCCCCCTTCCTCCTCTAAGCCTCCAGAACCCTTGGTAAATACCCAGAAATGAAGCCAGAGAAAACTGGAGGTGGGGCCAAGCCAGGGGGTGGGTTTGCAGTGGCCACTGGAGGAGCAGCAAGGGGAAAGGGGGCTGTCCTGTCCTCTGACTTCCTTCTCACTGCCACGCCCTCCCAGTCTTAATGACTGTCATGTCACCTTAACTACTGAAAAGGCTGCTTTGGGGAAGGTGCCCAGGTGATTGTTCCCCTGCCCTGCTCAGCTGCCCTCTCGAGCAGTTCCCCACTGGCGCTCCTGTCATAGTGCACTCCTAGAGGGAAGGGGCTGAATTCTCATGCCTCCTTGTGTCCCCAGTGCCTGGCCACTCAGGTGCAAACGCAAACAAAAACAAAAACCCCAGGTCTTAACAAACACCCAGTAGGCAAAAGAAATATTGCTATAATTTAAAGCATGAGGGATTATTATTTTTTATACCATCATAAAGATGAGGGATTGAGGGAAGGGTACAGAGTGTGCGTAACTTGCTCGTGGAAACAGAACCGGAACCGGGGCAGTTGGGACTCTTCTCTCTTAAACCACGCTGCTTTGTGCTCGAGGCCAATCAACTCATGGGGGTGCCTCGTCTCCACTGGTGTGCCCTTGGAGGTTACTAGGCACTGATGGATTCTGAGCTAGATGGGTGCAGATGAAGCACTGCCCCCACTGGCCAGAAAGGCTTCTCCAAGAGACACCTTACAGGTGTGCTCGCAATGAAACCGGAGTGTTGTAGATCTCATTGTGAAATTTAAGTCGAAGCTGAGTAATGTCAGCCATGATCTATTCCTTAAGGCAAGGTGGTGTTGGAAAAACATTCAGGAAAAAAAGGGGAGTTGAAGATAAACTCTGACCTGGGAAAAGGGTGCCCTGTCCAAGCACCCAGGGCAGGGCTGTCTGCCTAGGCAAGGTGGGTATCTGTCCCGTGGCCCTCAGAGCACAGCATTCTGCTGTCTGTGAGGACCCTGCTCATCCTTTCATTCGACAGAACTTGCCAAGAGCCCACTCAGTGCCGGCCCCTGTGCTCAGTCCAGAGGCCACACGGAGGGCTCATGCCTTACCTTCCAGGTGCTTACACTCTAGTGGAGGCAGATGCTGGGCAAAGTCTGACAAGTGCCATGTAACTATCACTAACTGTTCTGGACCATACGCTGGCCAGGCCTTGGAGATAAGTGGGTTGATAGATAGTCTCTTAACTCTAACACTAATGGCCCCAAATCGTGCTACTGTTGATGATTTGGTAGCTTTTGCTGGTTCCACTGCGTGTCACTTCCCAGAGGCCAAGTTTCAGAGTCATTGTCTCTAACCTCTGTTTCCAATTTGCTGTAAGATGGGAAGAATTAAGACTGCCAGTGGAAACAGCCGGCAGTCTTAATTGATGGCAGGAGATGTTCAGGTCTTTCCTTCGATGTCACCTTCTCATTGAGTCTTTTCTGACCACCCGATTTTAAATGACACTCCCTGATACATTTTCCGGCTTTATTTTTTCTCCAAAGCACCTGATTTGACATCCTATGCCTTTCTTTTTTATTCGGTTATCCTTCCAGATAGAATGGGAGCAGCAGAAAGGGAGACATTTTAGTCTGTTTTCTTTGCTGCCATGTCCCCAGCACCTATGCCTGACACCTCATAGGTCCCAGAAAATCCTTGTTCTGGGACAGTGCATTTTCCAAATGCATTTGGAAATGCATTCACACTTTTATACACAGCAAAGACAGTGTGCTACAGTGCAGAACATGGGATTTGATGTTGGACAGAACCAAGTTTGATCCCATCTCCTGCACTTAACAATTGGGTGAGCTTTGACAAATCACCTCCCCTTTTTCGAGTATTCATTTTCTGATATGTAAAAAGAGCATTGTTTATCCTTAATGATAGCATTTAAAGAAAATAAATAAATAAAAATAAAAAGAGCATTGTAATTAGACCTGCATCATGGGATCGCTGTGGAGAGCAAATAAAATAACGGATGTGAAAACATGGTGCAAATTGTAAACTGTTGTGTAGGCGTAACATATTGTTCAGCAATAACTCTCAAGGAGAAGGCACTTACTGTTCTGGAGAGTTTATATCTTCTATAGGGTCTTTGCATGTTCGAGAGGGCTCTGTTGTGTTCCACTGTAGCTGGGGATTTTGATCGAGGTGATTTTTTAAAATGGCCTTTCCCCCATCTGAATGCAAAACAACAATATCACAACGCGTTCTGTTAACTTGGTTTTTAAAAATCAACAATGCAATTTTTAGTAGGATGATGCCCAAGGAGAGAGAATGCAAAAGTGCCCATCATCCCTCTGCACTAAGTGTGGTCTGGGTAGTGGCTCTCCCGGGACACCGTGAGTGGGGAAGCCTCTGCCTGGGACAGAAGCTGGGGACGGGTGTGGCATGCCCCGTGCCCTCCTTCTCTCCAAGAAAAAAGGTGGGGGACGTCAAGTCGACTAATGTAGGCAACATAACTTAGAAATGAATGGTTCTAATATGAAGTCCCTTTTCATGGATACATAGGGATATAATGACAAAGAACAAAACTTCCAAGGTATAATTTTGATAAGGTTGGCAAAGGTTGAAAAGAATAATAATAGTAAACTGCTGGTGGAAGTTATACATTGACATAATCTTATGGAGGGGGACTCTGTCAATATGTGCCAAACACTATAAAAAGTGCCTATTTTTATCCAGAATTTCCACTTCTGGGAATTGTCCTAAAGAAATAATCAAGGATATATGCACAGTTATTTACAAGATATTCAATTCAGCATCATTCACAATATTAATGTTGGAACTCATCTGAATTTTTCCAGTAACCATAGATTAGTTACATAAATTATGGGACCTCCATTCAAAGGAGTATTGTGCAGCCACCAAACATGGTGATGGAAATTCTCTCAACTCTCTTTGTGCTTCAGAACCACATGGGGAGATATAAAGAAATATAAAAACCTGGCTCCCACCTGAGAGATTTGGATTCATCTGGTCTAGAGAGACACTGGTGATTTTGTTTGTTTTTGCTGCAGTGGGCAACCTTATGTGTGTGCCGTTTTGCACCCATGTGAGTATGGTCCTAATTATTCATGCATTCCATATTTGCAGACCTTGTCTTCTTGCTAAAAGTTATTTGTAACCTCCAAATCAATACTCGCCATGCTTTTGCCGTCATTTGCTGACATGCACAGAGTTTTGAAAAATTTGAGTTGCCTGATGCACCCGCTCCCAGCTGAGGTTGAACAAGGTGAGGCTCTGCCTTCTCCCTTCAGCTCTCACACTTTAAACAGGTATCTTTTTTGAGGTTGTTTAGTGACATGTTTTTCATATATTTGTGCTCTCTCCTGGGGATTTTGCTGTTTAAGATGGCCCCCAAGCATAGTGCTGAAGCGCTGTCCGGTGTTCCTAAGCAGATGAGGGCCGTGATGTGCCTTGTGGAGAAAATACGTGTGTTAGGTGAGCTTCCCCCAGGCGTGAGTTATAGTGTCGTTGGCCATGAGTGAGATGTTAATGAATCAACAATATAGATTGAATAAGGTGTCTTTAAACAGAAACACACATAAAGACAAAGTTATGTAGTGACTGGTTGACAGAAATGTCAACCTGCAAGAGGCTTCCAAGATCCTAACCCTGTATTTCCCCTGGGAGCAATGGCTCATTCACTGTTCATGTGACTTTGCAGAACAGTTCTGCTATCACAGATAATCAGAATTGACTGCACACTCTATCGCTGTGGTCTGAATGTGTCCCCCCAAATTCATGTGCTGAAACTTAATGGCCAATGTGACAGTATTAAGAGGTGGGGTGATCTTTAGGAGGTGATTAAGTCTTGAGGGTACAGCGCTCATGGGTGGGACTAGGGCCCTTATACACGGGCTTAAGGGACTGGTTTGCTCCCTTCCCTCCCTGCTACCACGTGAGGACACAGTGTTTCTCCCCTCTGGAGGATGCAGTGATCCAAGCTGCATCTCCGAAACGGAGACTGGGTCCTCACCAGACACCCAATCTACTGGCACCTTGATCTTGGACTTCCCAGTCTCCAAAACTGTGAGAAATAGATGTGTGTTGTTTATAAATTACCAAGTCTGTGGTATTTTGTTATAGCAGTACAAACAGACTAAGACACAGAATAAATTCCAGAAGTGGAATTGCTGGCTCAGAATAATCTCTATCTTAACCAGCAGTGTTTGAGAACGCCTTTCTCCCCATCTGTTTCCTTACATTCTCAGCAACTTTTTGATCTCTGACTTTTGCCAGTTTCAGAGGAGAGAATGATATCTCATTGCAGATTGAATTTGCATTCCTTTAATAAGGAGTGAGATTGATCATCTTTTCATAAGTGTAAGAACCATTTCTTTCTTTTATGAGAACTCTCTTTTGCTCATTTTTCTTTTGGGTTTTTGGTCTTTTTCTTATTAATTTGTATATAATTATATACATTTTCTCCTTATATAGGGGCATAAGCTTGTTATTGGAGTTTAAGTATATTTTGGCTAAGTTTGTAGCTTGATTTTTTGACTGTACTTATCATAGCTTTGGCATTGTGAAAAAAAAAATTCTTGTAGCTAAATTTATCAACCTTTCCTTTTGTGGTTTTTGTTTTGCATCATACTGAGAAAGGCTTTCTACTCTCTGCAATTGTTTTTAAAAAATTCTCCGTTGGTTTCTTCTAGTACTTTCATGGTTTCACTTTTTATATTTAAATTTTTCATCCATCTGGAATTAATTTTTGTGTAAGGTGTGAGGTAGGATCTACCTTTTTCAGATGGCTACCCATTTATCCCAATGAAATTTATTGAGTAATTCAGTTTCTCATTAATTTGAAATGCCCACCTTTACCAGATACTAAAATCATCTGTAGGTAATTTTTATTCTTCTAATTTCCTTCTTATCTCAATTTAAACATTTTGCAACTAATATCTTATATAATATTGCTTCTATAATATGAATACTTATTACTTATAAGTATACTTATATAATACAAGTAAAAGAAACAAAAGATTTTTCATTGATTAAAAATAATTTTATAACAAATTAATGCCTATATGCTAATGACAGAATCCAAACAACAGAGAAATATATAAAAGAAAATGTAAAAGAGTCCCTCTCATCCGCCTTCTGCAACATCATTCCTTTTCACATGGGTGAGTACTGTTAACAATTTGGTATTTGTTATTCCAAACCTTTTAAAAAATGTGCTTTTACATACACAAAGACACACACACATATGTGTATGCATTTGTGTGTACCATAATCACAGTGCTGGCCCTCATCTTGTTTTTTTCACTTGGAAATCTTTCCATATCTGCGCAAACAAACCCAGCTCACTTTTTATAATAATAGCTTATTATTATTATTATTATTATGCCATGTTTGGTTGTATCTTAATTAATTAAACCACCCCAAATAATGAGCATTTAATTCCAGCTTTTCTCACCTACCAATAACATTGTGATGTACATTGTATGTTTATATCTTTGCCCACGTAGGAGTATTTGCAAGGGGCAGCTTCCTGCTGGTGGAGTTGCCAGGTCAAGAGGTTTAACATTTGGAGAGTGCCAGACTGACTTCCAAAGTACTGCCAGAAGATGGTCATTTCCAAACACTTTTACCAATATTAGTAATCTTTAAATTTTTTCCAAAAGGTAGGCAAGAAATGGTTTGTGTTATTGCAGCTGGCATTCCCTAGGTGGTTGGTGAGATTGGGCATCATATTGTATCTCCCTGACCAGTCTTTTCTTATACATTGGTGGGGTGTGTTGGAACCTGTGAAACCTTGTTCAGAGAGGTAAAGGTAAACCACTGGCTAAGAACAAGAGGGAAAACGCTACATGCCTCCAGTCAGTACAGCAGGAAGGGTGCCATGTTGTGTGTGTGCGGAATTTGGACCACCAGGGATTAGAAACAGAAGCTCCTGGTCCAGGCAAGGTGGGGTTCCAAGTAGACACCGAGCTGTGGTCAGGAGACAGGGCTTCCAGGTGGTGCAGCTCTGTCTGTGTGGCTTCAGACCAGTCCCCTGCCCTCTCTCACCCTCAGTTTCTTTCTCTGTAGAATGGGTGACAGACAGCTGGTGTTCGAAAGCTAGGTGCCCATGTTCCAGGGCCCCACCTCCTCTCACCTGTGCTCTCAGTGAAGTTCCCCAGGCTGAGGATGTCGTTGAGCTCTTGGTAGTGGTTCTGTTTAATGTAGGTGGTCTTTTCTGGCGTGTCCTGCAGCTGCATGGTGACCTCTTCCAAGTCTTTATCCAGCTAGAAGACAAAGGCTCCAGCTGAGTCAGCGTCCTCAGCACTGTCCCTGTCCTAGCCTGGCAGCCAGGCCTCACAGGCCCAGCCTCTGCCTGGCTTGGGGGATGGCGCTGAGAGCCAGGGGGGCACTGCATCTTGGGGAGGAGATGCAGAAGGACCTTGCTAGCTCTTGCTCAAGGAGAAGCTACAATGAAGGGGACCTGTGCTTTGCAATTATATGTTCAGTGGCGGCTTTGGCCTTCCTGGAGCAGCCCAGCAAGCCTGGGGAGGTGAGGTGGGGAGCGGGGAAGAGCTCTGGCTCTGGGATTGGCCAGGCCCAGGTGCAAACCCAGGGCTGCCCCTTGCTGGCTGTGTCCTGGCCTGTGAGAATCAAGTCTCAGTTTCTTCATCTGTAGAATGGGGTAATAACAGTACCTACATCATGGGGTGTTGTGAAGATCAAATGAGACAATGCATGGAAAGTCTTGCCCAGTGCCTGGCACCTAACAAGTAGAACCTACTACTGTAATAATTATTATTGATACCTAACAGGACTCTCAGTGGGAAGGACAGATGTGTAGTGATAGTCAACTCTGAGCCTCCCGCTGTCATGGGGACTCAGACCAGCAGAGGCTCACCCAGAGTTAGTCAGGATGGGTCCGAATCACCCACAGGTTATAGAAAAATCAGGTGGAAGTCCTGGGGCAACTCAGCCCCAGAGAAGCCTGGGAAATGTGAGTGGTGGTAGTGGGGTAGTTGGGGTGGGCAGTGGGCATCCTACTACAGTAGAAGGGAGGAGACCTTATAAACTGCAAAGTGCCATCCTGATGGCAGGAGCACAGCCATTCAATTAGAAATTAATTGATAAGCTTTCACATGGAGCAGGAGAGAGACACCCTTTTCTATGTGACTCAAACAGCAGGGCTGGGATCAAAGGGTGGGAGAAACAGGAGGCCAGATTGTGATTCAATTTCAACAGTGGCTTGGGTTTCCTAGCGTGAGTGGACCTTTCGGTGCTGGAGTGTGCAAGAAGTGAGATGTGAAGGCACAGAGATATGTTATTACTGATCACAGAGAGGTCGGACACTGGGACGGAACCTGCAATGGCTTTGGGGGCCAGAAACCTTCCTGCTTTGCTCTGGTGGCTGATGGCGGGCTGCCCCATCCTAAAGCAGTCATCCTTAGGTACACAGACATCCGCACAGTAGCTCTCTGTGGCAGACTACTGTGAGCCCCTCCAAGGACTGCTAGATATACCCAATAATAATATAGAATGCCCGGTCCAATTTGAATTTCAGATAACGATGAGTCTTTTTGTAGTATAAGCATATCCCAAGTATTGTATGGGATATATTTATATTAAAAATATGATTGGTTGTTGATCTGAAATTCAAATTTAACTGGGCATCCTGTATCTATCTAATCTGGTGACCCTGCATTTCATTTCTTCCTTGCAGCTGTCCAACTAGAGACTACATTTCCCAGCCTCCTCTGCAGCTAAGTGTGCTCATGTAAGTTCTTGCCAGTGTAACTGGAGCAGAAGCAAAATGTGTGTGCTTTTCGTGTTACTTGCTTCAAAAGGCAATCCCTTGCGTGGAACTCCCTTCCTGGAACTGAGAACAGGACCTGCCTTCTGCCCGTCTTGTGCAGATGGGGAAAACACCCTGGGAATGGCAAAAAGCCTGAGGAAGGAATCGAGCCTGGCCATGACTGAGGGGAATAGAGCTGCCCAACTGGGACCCCTCTCCTCAGCAACATTAGGTGAGAGAGAAATAAACATATTTTTTTTTCAGGGCATCTTTGTTACAGCAACTCAGCCAGCATCCTAACCAACACACTTTCCTCTGTCACTTTCCTGCCCCCGCCACGGAATCAGAGTTCCTTTACTAAGGGAATGCACAGCGCGCAGACCATGGGTCTGGTCATACTCCCTGACCCAGAGGGAGGGTGGAGAAGAGGAAGATAATTTGGTTTCCCCTCCCTGGTATAGAAGTAAGTGCAGTTTGAGGTGTGGCCTGGGCACAAAGGAATCTGAGGATGGTCTCTCCAGAATACCCAAGAACAGCCGAGAACTCTCGGGACAAAGGGAAGGTCTGCTGCAGCACACTCTCCCTCCTGAAAACTTTCTTTTTGCTTCCTCTTCTCTTCTTGTACATCACATACATGTGGGTGGATACTGGCTTGTGTTGGGAGAGTGAAAAACAGAGCGGGGGCTGGACGGGGGGTAGACAGACACTGACCCAGGAAGTTATGAGGATCTGGGGCTTACATATCTCTACGAATTCCTTTCTTTCTGAGGATGGCTTGAATCAGGTATTGCTGGACTCCAAGAGCCTGGGCCAGGTGGGCAATTAACTCACGTCCAGTCCTGACAAACTGCCTCTATCTGTTTCATATGTTAGCGCTCATTCCTGCAGCCGCAACCACAGCAGATGGGACTGTGTGGCCAGATCGCCTGGAGGAGCCCAAGGTCCCTGCACCAGGTCAGAGGGACTCAAATGGCAGGGCAGGGCCCTGGCTACCAGGTGCAGAGGGAGGTACCTCTGTGATCTTCATTCGTAGGCGATGGTTTTCCGACTGCAGGCCCTCCAGGCGGGATGTGCTTGCTTGGTTCACACTGGTGACGGAGGTGGATGTTTTGGAATCCTCTTTCTTCTGATTCTGAGTGAACTGGAATCGCCTGTTCTGAGTTGCTGCATCTGGGTTTGTTCTCAGAGTGATGAGCTGAGGGGACAGAGGTAGGGGCAGGATTGAAGAGAGAGCCCTGGGTCCTTCCTCCTGTCCCCCACTGTTGTCCTCCCAGCAGGTCCTGCACTGGAGGCAGCAGGGGACCCAGGAAGGCCACAGGCTGAGAATCAGGAGCCCTGGTTCAGGCCAGGCTCAGCCACTCGCCCGAGTGTGACCTTGGGCAGGTCCCCTCCCCTCGCTGAGCCTCAGTGTCTCTAGCCAGCAGAAGTCTGGTCTCCTGGCCATGATGCCACCCGCATCCCAACCATCCTGCAGAGGCCCCGGGGTCCCTCAGCCTAGCTCCAGCTGAGCCTCCTCTGCCTTGATCCGTGCTCCCTGTGGCAAATAAACCCTGAGGGTGACAGTGAGGAAAACAATGTCATAGAGGGAAGTGAAGGCCTCTGTTTGTTAGAATCACTGATGAGTTTTGGGGACAGGCTAGTAACTAGCTCTGTCACTGACAAAAGCAGGTTTTTGTTTTTGTTTTATTTTTATCAGTTTAAGCAACACATGTTTACCATCTCCCAGTTTCTGTGGGTCAGGAGTCTGCACATGGCTGAGCTGCATCCAAAGACATTTTTTTATAGAAGACATAAAGTTGACACTTGACCCTGACCTTGCCCATTCATTTATCCTAGAAACACCTCTGGTTTGAGGCAGGCTCTGGGCTCAGCCCCGGAGAGCAGCAGCTGAGTGAGCCGTGGCCCCTGCCCACCAGGACCTCAAAGTGCACAGGTGCAGGGTGGGGATGAAGGAAGAACTCAACCTGCACCAGGACAGAAGGTATCAGGACAGAGTGCCCACCATGGTGCCGTGGCCTGGGCTGGGCTCTGTGGAGGGTCTGGAAGGACCGTGGGGATGAGAGAACTCCGAGGGGGAAGAAATGGCACATGCAGATGCAGGGCCCAGGAGGCCCGGAGCTCAGTGCACTTACAGGGAAGGGCAGTTTGGATGTGGGAAGGATTTTCTGGGGAGACTGGAGGACACCTGAGGGTCCTGAAAGCCAGTCCAATACCAGGGATTGATCCTAGAGCCAGGAGGGCAGTGAGGAGCTATTGGGGAGAACAGAGCAGAGTGGCATGATCAGAGCTGGGCTTACAGAATCCTCTGGCATCTTTTGCAGGATGGAGAGAGTGTCAGAGTGCAGCAGTGAACTGTGGCCTTGACTTAGAGCCAGGGCAGGTGTGGCCAACTACAGGAGAAAGCAGGTGTACACACCAGGGGTATTCTGGTACAGAACTGACAGCACCTGGGGACTGACAGGGTGCCTGGCAGGATGGAGGCACCGTGGGAGACCTGTTTCCCTAAATGGACCCCAGGTAATCTCTCCTCTCCCCAACCTGGGTCAGTAAATCCTTCCCCTCTCTGTTTCCCGACCCTTCCTTTACTCTCAAGACCCACTGAAGCCACCCTTCCCCCCACACAGACCACCCTACGGCAGGGCGGTCCTAAGAGGTCAAGGCCTCTGGTTCACCTGCGTGCTGCTAGGTGAGATGATAGTTGAAAAATATCTCATCAAGGGGGTCCTGAAGGTCGGCCTTTTGAATAAATGGAAATTGTAAGTGGCTATTAAAAATGGTTTTTTTTTTGGACCCAATACTACTACTTCTGTTACTGTACCTTAAGAGAATACTTGAAAACAAGGAAAATAATGTTATGTAGGAAAAAATGTTCATTTATAATATATTAAAAAACTGCAAACAACTGTAATGCTCACAAATAAGGGATCAAATGGATACCCAGATTATGGAACTTTCCCTCAGTGATGGTTATAAATGTGTGAAAATACAAAGGACAAAAAGGTAAGTGAAAGAGGCAAACTACAAAACAGCATGCATGCTATGTTATAACCATATCTTAAAAATCGTTACCTCCTAGCCATTAAAAAAAAAGACTGTAAGGAAACACATCTTTACATAAATAGCAAAAAGACACCCAAACCAAACAATACTAGTGATTATTTTTGAGTAATGGGACTATGGGAGATTCTGAAAAATCTGGTTTTCACTTCTCTGCATTTCTTTCTTTTTTTTTTTTTTTTTTTTTGACACAGAGTCTTGCTCTGTCGCCCGGGGCTAGAGTGCCATGGAGTCAGCCTAGCTCACAGCAACCTCAGACTCCTGGGCTCAAGTGATCCTTCTGCCTCAGCCTCCTGAGTAGCTGGGACTACAGGCACAGGCCACCATGCCCGGCTAATTTTTCTATTTTTGGTAGAGACAGGGTCTCGCTCTTGCTCAGGCTGGTCTCAAATTCCTGACCTCAAGTGATCCTCTTGCCTCGGCCTCCCAGAGTGCTACATTACAGGTGTGAGCCACCACGCTTGGCCTACTTCTCTACATTTTCTAAACCTTCCTTAACATGAATTGTCTTCATCATAAAAAAAAAAAAAGAATGTGTAAAACTTGTAGAAAATGGAGACAGCCCAGCAATGCCCTTGTGACGGAGGCAGAGGCCAGAGGCCAGGATGGTGCGCCACCCCCTCCCCCGCGGTACCTTTGGCACGAACACCAGGCAGAGGGTGATGGTGCTGCAGAAGATGATGACCAGGGCCACGATGCAGAACTGCACGTTGGGCTGGTCCCGGGTCAGGAAGGAGACGGCGGCCCCGATGATGCACATGATGCCCACATTGTAGACGCTCATCCCGATGTACTTGCTGTCGTTGAGCGCAGGGATGCTGACGTTGCGGGTCTCCCAAGCTAAGAAACAACCGAACAACTGAAAGGGTGAACAGAAAGGGGAGACGGTCGTTACCAAGGGGCAGCACACCTTGCTGCTTGGAGAAGCTGGGGGACGGGGACGGGGACAGAGGGTTACTCAGGAGGTGAGGCTGGGGGTGCTTTGCTCTCGGCCAGGTCTTCTGGATGTCGCCATGGGTCTCCACTCCTGGCCCTGAGTTGAGTCCCGCCAAGGAAACGTGACCGTTGCCCATGGCTGGTGCACACACAGACCCACCAGGCGGAGGCCACGGTGGGAAGGACGGTCTCAGCCTCCTCCCCTCACTCTCCAGGACACTGAGGCCTAGAGAGGAGGAAGGGGCCTGCCCAAGGCCACACAGCAATAGGTGGCAAAAGTAGACTGTGTCTCCAGGAGTTCAGGTCAGTCTTTTTTTTTTTTTTTCTAATTAAACTTGGCATATATCTTGTGTCAGGGACATGTATTATCCCTAAGGCACACGGCCACGCAGAATAGAGACCACAGTTCCCAGCTTCCCTAGAACTAGGTGTGGTGCATCATTAGGCTCCAGGCAATGCCTGTAAGTGGAGGTGGTGTGTACAAATTCTGGGAAGTGTCTTTAAAGGGAAGGGGTGTTGCTTTTCCACCTTCTTAACAGCTGGACTGGAATGTGATAGGTGGAGCTTCAGCAGCATCTTAGACCACAAAGGCATCTTAGACCATGATGTGGGAGCCGTGTAATGGCAATGTGGGGGCCACAAGATGCCGGGAGCTGAGATTCTGGGGGCCCTTACGCCAACTCTAGATTGCATACCTCTGGACTAGGTGTATGTGAGAGGGAAATTTGCTATCTCTTCAATCACTATTATTTTGGGTTTTTCTGTCACTTGCAGCTCTACTCCTAACCAATAGGTCTCTTAGTAGAAATGGACAGGGTTGAGGCCAACTGTGATCTGCAGCAGGGTGTTGAGGTGTAGCCCTCTTGGGTGGCAGGCTGCAGGGGCAGTGCAGGGTGGAAGACAGAATGGTGGTGTCATGGGCAGAAGAGCCAAGACTGTTGACTGACACAGGGGCCGCTGCTTCAGTGTGGCTTCCCCAGGCTGTTTCACAAAGGCCCTTCTTCCCTTTGGCTTCAGCAGGGCAGCTCGGGGCATCTGACAGCCCCAGGAACCATTTGACATCACACTGAGGACCTTCGTTTTGAGGTTTGATTCAGTTTGGCAGTTTAATGCTGCGTGGTGGAAGGGGGCTGGACACGAGGCCAGAGGATCTGGAATCTGCTCTGCCAACCACTAGTCGGGTAACTCTGGACAAGTCACTTCACGTCTCAGGACCTCAGTTTCAATGTCTGTGAAATGGGAATAATAATAATACCCACTCACAGGGTTTCCATGTGGTCGAAATGGGATGGATGCGAAAGCACTTAGTAGACTGAAACGTCTACTAAGACATGTCCACACAAAGACAGGTTCAAAGCTGTTTTGTGATTGATATTATTTTATACAACCATGATTGCTTTCCTCTCCTTTCTTCTTTATCCTTTGTCTAAATGTGTTAGCTCATGGCTTGATTTATTTTTTTTTAAATTCTCTTTAATATGGGGAACCAGAAGCCCAGAAACCAGATACTGAGCGAGAGGAGGAAACCAATGTGGAACTGTTGAAAGCCTGTTTTATGCCGGTTCCTTCATGTGACCCATTTGGTCCCACAGTGGCTGTGCATCTTGTGGAGGAAGCAGAGGCTTGGCCAGGTGAAATGACCTGCCTGGGGTCTCACGGCATGAGTGCCTGGGCTGGATGGGTGCCTGGGACTCAGGCTCCCTGACAGGGAGTTAGCCTGCCCTCCTCTCGGCCATGCTGCTGACGGGCCACCAAACCGCCGTGAGAGTCTCCACCAGTCTCAAAACATGGGCAAGTCCAGGGACCTGGGGGGTGGCTGTAAATCTCTGACACTCTGAAGAGTTATCAGGAGGAAACAGTAACTTGTTCCCAGGCCTTCAAGGAATAGAATGAGAGTTCACAGGCATAAGTTACACAGAGGCAGATTAAAGCTGAAGATAAGGAAGAATTTTCTAGAAAAGCAACCTACCTATAGGGGACTAAATGGTGGTCCTAAAATATATGTCTACATTCTAATCCCTGAAAACTGTAAATGTGACCTTATTTGGAAAAAGGCTCTTTGCAGATATAATTAAGGATCATGAGATGAGAACATCCTGGGTTATCTGGATGGGCCCTAAACCCAGTGACAAGTGTCTTTGCAAGGGACACACAATGCACAGAGAGAGAAGGAGGCCATGTGAGGGTGGAGGCAGAGATGGGAGCCAGGCAGTCACAAGCCAAGGGACGCCTGGGGCCACCAGACCCCGAGGGAGGCAAAGGCGGCTTCTCCCCTAGAGCCTCAGAGGGAGCACGACCCTGCCGTGACTTTGCACTTCTGACCTCCAGGGCTGCGCAAGCTCTTTCCAGCCCTGAGATTCTGCGGTTCTGGAACAGAAAGGGTAGGGGTGGGAGTGAGAGTTCAGTCATAAGCCTAAGGGCCAGGAGGGCTGGGGACAGTTCCCTGCACATACTCTAAATGGCAGAGCATCTGTGCTGTCAAATACAGATTTTATTCACATGAGCTGGCTGAAGGTGTTAGCTGCGCTGGAAGAGATACAGTCATCTCAAACCACTTTTGGAAGTAGGTGGGAGAAGATAATGAATGATCAAAACATTACAGATAAATCCAGTTTAAAGATGTCAATATGATTCACCACAATGTGATTTCACGGAGTCTCCGAGTCAAGGAACAACAGGCTGGAAGGCTCCTGGAAAGAGTCTAGTTTCACTCTTTTTATTCCATAAAGGTCAGAGGGAAGCTCAGGTCATCAACACAACATGCTTCCCACGAAAGAAGCTTGTCCTTCTCAGGGGGCTGCATGACATCGGTGGACACTGCTCCCTGTCATACAAAAATCCTTCTTTACAGGGAGTTGGGGTCTCCCTTCTGGCAACTTCTGCTATTGCCAATGGTTCTGCCCTCAGGTCTATGTCACTCATCTCTGACAGCTCTTGCGAGTTTCTGGTGACTGTGTTTCTTGACTGTGTTTTATCCACGCCCAAGACCTTTGCACAGTCCTCAAATTCCCATTTCCACTCCAGGCACCTCCTGTGGACAACTCCAAGGTCATTACCTTGTGGGGCCCATAGTGCAGCCACACGGTCCTGTTGCTTGCATTGGGGGTAGGTCAAAAGATCTCTATAGAAGACACAAGAAGGTCTCAACTGGTATGAAGTGGGGAACAATCTTTGTCCAGGGTCCTCCAACACATGCCCTTCTGGGATGGCCCCTTGAAGGGCACAGGATCAATCACTAGAAGTTCTAGGAAGCAGCAGCAGGTAAGAATGCATTTGAGCAGCACAAGAAGTTCCAGTTTATTGGACTTTGAAGAGGGCTTCACACGGAAGTGGATGGTGCCTTATGTTTCCTGTGGAAAGATCTGAGGAGGGTGCAGATGCCAGCTTCATGCTATTGGAAGGATTAAAGGGAGCATGGTTTGTATGGGATATGGGAAGGAAGATTCAAGGATCGACCTGGGCTAAGGCTGGGTGGGGCTGACCTTTCAAGACCCTCCTACCTTTGAAATCCCATGATTGTGTGATGTAGCCTTGGTGTGTGATCTTTGATTTTAACAGATGAGCAGAGTGGGAAAGAGTGCCAGGTGCTGAGATCGGAGGTTACCAGGTAGCCTTTGGCAAATCATTTAACCTCTCTAAGGCTCACTGTCCTCATTCTACAGGACAGGGGTGACTCTACTCACCCGATCACATAAATGGGGATAGATTCAGAGAGGATCCCATGAAATGCAGGTGGTGAACACACGCCAGATGCCAACAGACTGCTGTTCCTGGGAGCAGCACAGTGACAGCTATGAGGCACACTCACAAGTTTTGGGGTTACTCTCTGGTTAAGATCTTGACTCTGCCACTTACTAGCTGGGTGACCTTGGGCAAGACACCAAGCCTCAGTGTCCTCATCAGTGGAATGGGGATATTATGTACATATCTCATAGGGTTGCTGTGGGAACTGAGATAGCATGTGGCAGACACCGGGTCTGGCAGAGAGTAAGAGCTTAATCATGGGGGCTCTCTTATTTTCACGCTGACAGAGGCCCCTGGGAGAGAGAAGCCTGACAGAGAAGCGTCCCCCCGACTCTGTCTCCTGCTCTGCACCTACCATGAGAAGCCCTTTGTAGGCATAGACAATGCCAAGCCAGATGGTCATGTGGCTGTTCTCACAGTGCTCCAGGAGAGGGCGGATGGAGATGTCCCGTCCTGCTGGGTCCGGCTGTGCAAAGAGAAAACAGACACTCCAGGAATGGCATCGGGCACTTTTCCAGCAGCTGGGGCCCTATCCGAGAGCCCTTTCCCTCCCATGAGTCACAGCCAGCGCCACCACCCAGGAGGCCCTGTGGACCCCACCTCTGTGTTCCCAGGCTGTGGGGTCAGGCCTCAGCTAGCATTGACTACCTTCTGTTTGCTGGCTGTGATTCAACGCTGCACTCTAGTTCTCTGCATTCTTCATGCCTCTCCAACTTGGATCAGAGCCTCCTGTGCCCCTAGGACCTAGCACGAGACCTGGCTCAGAGTAGGGATCTCTAACATTTGTTGAAAGGGTGAGGGTGAGAACGAGGCACAAAGTTAGGTGGGGAGCTCTTCAGGTGTCTCTGGAGTTAACTTGGGGAGCCGGAGATAGAAGATGCACTGGCCCGCCCAAGCCTGGGGCCTGCCAATCCCTTCTGAGGAGACTCTCTTGTCCACTGCTCCCATTGCTGGAGCAGTAGTGGCAGCCATGTTATATACCACATGACCCATCCTGGGACAGAGCTGATTGGACAAGGAATGGGCACTTGACCCCAGGCAGCCAATCCAGAGGCTGGTCAAAGACCTCTGAGGTTTCCTTGTACAAAGTGGTCTGGCTAAAAAGGGGTGATGGAGAGGACCCTTCACAAGCATGTCCTCCCTCTCTCTCTCTTTCTCTCTCTCAGGAATTTGAATTGGGAACTCTGGCACAGAATCAGCCAGATGGTGGCAAGAGGAGGAAAAGATACCCAGGGAATGAAACAATGTCTACTGTATATTTATTTTTTTCTGGACCATTTGAGAAGGATCAGACATCCTGATCCTTTATCCCTGTATACTTCTGCGTGTATTTCCCAAGAACAAGGAGATTCTCTTATACAACCACACTTACCAAATTCAGGAAATTTAACACGGATGCAGTATATTATTTAATACACTATCCATTTTCAAATTTCACTGATTGGCCCAATAACATCCTTTAAAGCAATTGTGTTTTTTCCAAAGCAAGATCTAACATAGGCCCATGCATTGCATTTACTTGTCATATCTCTCTGGTTTCCTTTAATGCCAAACAATTCCTCAGCCTACTTTGATCTTTCATGTCATTGCTATTTCTGAAGACTCCAGTTCAGTTGTTTTGTAGAATGTTTCTTGATCTGAGTTTGCCTGAATGTGTTTTCATGATTAGATTCATGTGATGCATTCCGGGCAGGATTGCCAACAATGCATAAAGTGGGATTCACATCAGGAGTACTTGATGGCACTTTGTGACGTTACCTGTGATCACTTGGTTGAGGTGATGTCTGCCGGATTTTTCCACTTGAAAGGTACCATTTCCCCTTTGTAATTATTAAGTAATCTGTGGGAGCCACTTTGAGACTGTGTGAGTGTCCTGTTCCCCCACAAACATTCACTCAGTGGTTTCAGCATCCATTGATGAGTCTTACCTGAGTCACTTATTATTTTGGTGGCTGCAAAATGGTGAATTCTAACTCTATCATCACATTTAAATACTTGGCATTCTCCAGCAAACAAGAGCCTTCCTTTCCTCCCCTTCATTTATGTATATCAGTATGGACTCATGGGTTCCTTTATAATTCAACGTTTTATAATCCCTTGCTATCAACGGCTTATAATCCCTTGCTATCATTGTTCATTTGGCCAGTGAAAAACTCCTTAATGTTGCCTCCTGTGTTTTTTCCACATGTCCCCATAATATTTTTGAGCACTTTCTTGCTTCTTGGCACAAGATGATTCAGGCTCTCCTTGCACTTTTCTTGCCCCAGCCTTGGGATCAGCCATTTCTCTAAGGAGTCTTAGTTCTTTTTAGTAGACAATGGTGTTTAGAAACCAAGATCTAAGCACTTGCTGTTCTCACTGTTTCTAGGGTGTCATTACTTCTAGGCTTGCTCTATCTATGGTCAGTATCTGTCTACAGACAGATATGGATACAATCCAACACCACAGAGTTCTTGCTTGCCTCCACCTAGTCCAGATTCCCATCACTCTTCTCCCACAGTGAGATCCCTGGCTACCAACATCAAAATATTTACTCACTTGTTCAGTCCTACAATAGACACAAAATAGTTTCAGAATTGATACAGCCATATAACTATCAACAAAAAAAGTTACTAAGTTGAAGATTTCTTTGCAAATCTGTTTGACTTTAGAATAGATCCCACTAAGGGTTTAGTTTAGTGTCAAAGAGCTGTATTCAGAATGTTGTGTTCTGATGGGGTTGTCTTGTTGAGGCCCAGGGTCAGTCACCAGGAACAAGGGGGTACTTTGATGGGACCCAGGGACAGAAGGCAGGCCTTAGGCAGGTGGAAACGCTGGTTTTTTGGCCCTTCTGTCTAGGCCTGGCCCTTGAGGCAGGCAAAGATCTGTGTTCCTGTGAGCTGGGGAACAATGGTGCTCTCATATGGAAGCAGGAAGGGCTGGGAGAGCTGGGGCCTGTGGGCTCCGGCCAATTTGTAGCCAGATCATCCAGCTGCATGTTCTCTCAGGCTTAGTTCCCTGTTGCTGTCCCAAGCCACAGAAAGCCTTAGCTCGGCCTCTTTAGTTCCCTGTGCATCAAGTCCACACTTGGACTGGAGTGCTACAGGGGACAGCAGGTTCCCCGAGGCCTCTGCAGTGAGAGACATCCCAGGGGAAGCTGATCTCCAGAAACCAAAGTCAGAGTGGCCAAGGCCAGAGATTTCCCTCCAATGCTACCAGCCCAGGAGCTAGGCTGCACTTTACTAAGGGTAATGGAAGTTTCCTGACATCCTTTCATTGTTTAATTAAGGAGACTGAATGGGCTTGGTCCTTAGGTCAACAGTGAGTTAGTGGCAGAAAGTAGGTTTCTCCAATGTCTAACGATCAAGTAGACATCAGAATGCAGTAGCATGGGTCCATTATGGTCATGCATGAATAGTAAAGCCATTAATGATGATTGTGTCTACTGTTCTATGGTGAAAGCAATGATTTATGATTGAATCTTAGACTCTCAGTGGTAGAGGACTGGTTCTGTCATGCACTGCAGATCAATGGAATGAAACTTTCTTCCTGGGAACCCGAAGAGGCCTGTCTTATGCACTCCAGTGAGAGGAAGCCAACCTGCCCTGCTCTTGGTGAGATGGTTGCACCATTCTTTTATTTTTATTTATTTTATTAGAGACAGGGTCCTGCTCTGCTCTGTCACCCAGGCTGGAGTGCAGTGGCACAACCATAGCTCACAGTAGCTTTGAACTCTAGAGCTCAAGGGATCTTCCTGCCTCAGCCTCCAGAGTAGCTGGGACTACAGGCATACACCACCATGCCCGACTAATTTTTCTTATTTTTGTAGAGATGGGGTCTCACTATGTTGCTCTGGCTGGTCTTAAACTCCGGAGCTCAAATGATCCTTCTGCCTCAGCCTCCCAAAATGCTGGGATTACAGGTGAGAGCCACCACGCTCTGCCAATTCTTTTGTTGAACCAGAGCCTTCTTTGGAACCTCCACCCATTGGGACTTGTTTTTCCTCTGGAACTCCCCAGAATAATCCCAAGCTCTCGCTTTGAGTCTGCATACCCTTCCTCAGGAGGGAAGATCGACAGAAAAGTGACATGTCACTGTGCTTTCCTCCACAAGGAAACCTGTGTCCTACAGCCCGCTGAGTCTACCACTGATCTGTGGGCCCAGAACCGAGCTCAGCACCGCAGGAGATGCTGATGGAGTCTGCCCGCACCTCCTGCTCCAGATCTCTTTTGCTTTCTAAATCACCGTCTCCACTGGCGATTCATATGTTTCTTAGGGTTGAGCAAGACGCCATCAGGTAGTTTTCATAGAACCGCTGCTAGCACTGTCTTCCCCTTCTTGCTGCCGACATTCCAGTCTGGTCACCTTTCGCCTTGTCAATAGGTCCCCTCCCCCACCTCCCATCCCTGCCTGCTCTGAAATCTCCGAATCCTGAAATCCTTATTCTTACCTCTGGTCTTTCAGTGCCCCACCCATCCCAGTAGCCTTGAGCATGGCCGTGGCCTCTTGGCAGAGGTGGGGGTACCCACTGAGAGGGCCTGAGGGTGGGCAGAGCTGCTCACATGCCCATCTACCCAGCTTGCAGATGCTGATCCGGAAATAAACCACAAAAATCTCCTGCTCATTAACATCACCCACACACAGCCCCATCTCTGGTGCCACAGGATGCCAATCCCAGTGGCAGGGGCTGGGGTAGGTTTACAAGTGACAAGGGTCCTGGGGCTGGGGCTAGGGAGTCTGTGAAGGAAGTCAGGTGACTCTTGCACTGACCCCCAAAGCAAACTGTATAAGCCATACCTCCTGTCTGGGCTACCCTGATCCTGCCGGGGACGGGAGCGCACAGCGGTCTGTGCAGTCACACACACAGGGAGAATGCGCCTGAGCGTGGGCTGGGCCCCCGGCGGGCGGGCCACCTCTGAACCCCAACTTGGCATTAGTGTCATACACCAAAGCACCACTAGGGGGCACCAAAGAGCCGTGTGGAGGGTCCAGCCGGGTGGCTGTGGATTACCCTCTGCTGGGGACACGAAACTGTGCTCATTGGGTCTGGAAATGGTGATGCTGTCAGCAGCATCCTCTGCTACTCTGGAAGGCACCCATTGACCTAAAACAAGGCCAGATTTCCACGCATTATAAAGGACCTGCCCCAGCCCCCTTCCGCGCCAGCTGTTGCGGGCCATTGGGGACAGACCCAGGCCATACTTGGGCACTGCACTCAGCCTGCTCCCAGCGTGGGCCATCCACGCGGCCCATGGCCAGCGAGCACAGGGCACTGACCGCTGCACAGGCCGAGCTGGGATCTCACGTCAGGCTGGGGCCAACACCTAGATTTCAGCCCTCCATACAGTTGTGGATTTCAGCATTTGCACCGCCCTAAGAATGTTTCCCTTGCCCTGGATGACTGACCTGCAAGAACTTTCGACTTGATTTTTCCTTTTTATTTTTCTTCCCTACTTGCTGCTCACCTGGGCAACTGCCTGAGCATTC